TGTCTAGGGTAGAGAAGGAACAGTTTTAAAATAAAAGCTAACTAAATAAATTAAACAAATTAATGTTACAGAGTAACGTATGGGAGCACACGAGAGCGAATCAGAGGAGGGAGACAGACAGTCATAAGCTCTGATTAACATCAATTGTCGCTTCTCATTCTAGGAGAGCGGAAACAAAGTAGACAAACAGGAATACACAACACATTTACAAGATTACATTCTAAGACAACTATGTCATCTAGTTATGCTGCACAATTTGGAATGTTAGCCTTATGCATCAACATCGGGAACGTCGCCAGTGCGTTTCACATCCCAAAGGCGAGAACAGAATACTGTAGGAAAATTATTTAAGAAATACATTTCTGAAGCTCTTGGCATTAAAGGAACTTGTCATTAGCCTTTCAAAAGATCAAGCTTGATCACATTAGCGGAACAGACTCTGTCCACAGTCTTTTAAGTGGGGAAATGGAAAAGAATCCGGCTTAGTAATACTATTCACTTTACAATAGCCAGTGCAAAAGTGAAAGGTTGAATCTGGTTTTGGGACTAATAAGCAGGGTGAGCCCCAGGGACTGGAGTAAATGCTCAACTATAGCAGGATTAATGGGCAGGCTCTTACCTCAATATCATGAACAAGAACATCAGTCTGACTCGGAACATCAGAAAATAAATTAGGATATTCTTTGATCAGTTAACACACTTCACTATGTTGTTGTTCAGGAAGATAAGACAGGTAAGAGTCTAGATCAGACAGCATGACCGAGTTCTGCAAGCGTCCGCACGAAAGCTTAGCATCACACACAGTCAATACATCGTCTTCAGGAATGTAAACGGTGGGAAGAACAGCAGACATAAAAGGTAAAACTTTACTCGAGTAGCTTTAAAAATAACGTGTCTTCCGATACTTAATACTTAATAAAAAAAAGCAATACTGACTGCAGACACATACTATGAGAATATTATCATCACATTATGAGAAATCCTGAGTCATGTCCCTCGCAGGTGTGATGATTATTAATGGTGTTTGTGTTGAAAACGAGCTCATCTTCCTCCCCGTGGGGGGAAAAAGTCAGCAGGGAGCCTGTGAAGACGACAGAGAGTGTTCTCCGTATTTCTACTTCCACAGGACCAGATGTGCATGGATAGACTTTCACAGAAGGGAAGATGCTTGCTCTACATGCACACTCACAGCAGTAAGCATATATGAGCGAGAGAGAGAGGGAGAGAGAGAGAGAGAGAGAGAGAGAGAGAGAGAGAGAGAGAGAGAGAGAGAGAGAGAGAGAGAGAGAGAGAGAGAGAGAGAGAGAGAGAGAGAGAGAGAGAGAGAGAGAGAGAGAGAGAGAGAGAGAGAGAGAGAGAGAGAGAGAGAGAGAGAGAGAGAGAGAGAGAGAGAGAGAGAGACTAGTTTCCGTAACTGATATAGCAAGAGAACGAATTGAGTGCGAGACTGACAGAGCGAGACAACTCTTGGTGAGTAGGTAGAGAAAGTGAGAGGATGTGTGAGACTAGCTCTTCATGGAAGAAATTAGGCCCACATGAAATACATACTTTCCCCTCATAAAAAAAAAAACAATACAAAACCAACAACAAAAAAAACCCAAACAGACAAATAAAAAACAATTCAAAACTGAAAACCCCAAACACACCAAAATCCCCCCCCCCAAAAAAAACACCAAACAAAAAACAAAACACCATAAAAAAAACCCTGCAAACCAAAACAAAAAAAACAAACAGACCAAAACCTGTGTTATGTTATGCTGTGAGTTATGTTATATTGTTTTATGTTATATGTTGTGTTTTATATGTTATGCTATGCTGTTATGTTTTGTATATAATTTTTTTTTTTAAATGTGCACTGATAAATCAATTCAAATAAGACCAGGATGTGTAATTGTGTATTAAGTAAGTATTAGGGTGCATTTTGCCTCCATGGAGGCTTTGAAGAATATATGAAGAGACAGCAACACTCCTTTGTCTTTTTGACTTGTCTTTGAGCTCTTTATAACTCCCGAGCTGGGGGGGAAAATGGACCATGTATTAAATACTGGATTTACAGCTTGGTGTGCAAGTCACATACCCCTTTTCCACCAAGGCAGAGCTGGTGCTGGTTCGGAGCCAGAGGCTAGTTTCAATTCGGTTCTTTGTTTTTCCACACGCAAAGCACCAGCTCCGAACCAGGAAAAGTGGTTCTTAAGTAGCACCAAATCATTGCTGGTCTAGAACAGAGCCAAGTAAGGGCCGTTACATAGTCAACGCGAGCAACGCGAGCAAGCAACGCGAGCGACGCGCTCCTTTTCATAGTACACAAGCGTCACCGGCGATGCGTGAAATGCAATACACCGATCGCGCAGCAGGGGGTAGTAGAGTCTAGAGTCGGGTCACGTAATATTCAGATCAAAATGGCAACTGAAGCGGAGTGCATATTGCTGATTTTACATCGGCGGCAACAAAGGATGTATACAAACAAGCTCGCATAACTTTTCCTCTTCGCCCGCCATTGTATTCAAATCTTCTTCTTCTGTAAACATAATAATATACCTTTTTATGTACATTACTTGCAATGTCGCCCCCACCGACAACGCATAGTATTGCGTGCATCGGCGCGTCGCGTATCAAAAACTAGGATGACACATTTGGCTACGCATCGACGCATAATGGCGGCCGAAGCGTAGCGATGTGTAGCCTTGCGCACGCGTATGCGTATCGATGCGTTGACTATGTAAGGGCCCTTAGAACCGCTTGCGTCAGGGGCAGGGGGCGGGGTTACCGTGACCAACAAGACGAATAGAAACTTGTGACCGCCATTTTTAAATAGCAGCTAGTCGAGCTAATAGCAGCTTGATTATAATATCCGTCTATGTAAGTTACGGCGAGCTGCACAAACGCGTTGGATTCCGATGTATTTTTGCAAACCCATGAGCATCCATAGTAACGCAACGTCCGTTATTGTTGATGGCTTGTTCGAGATGCATCGGAGCGGCGCGGACCGATCGGAGCTGCGGGAGTGTTTGGAGATCATACGACTCCTTGTGCTTTTGGATCACTTTCGCAGTGCTTTGATGTCATGCGGCGATCGATCTGCGAGAAGCCGATGCATCTCCACTATGCATCTCGAACAAGCCTGGCGTGTTTGTGTTTGGCGCTACCGCACTAGCGTTGCTGGGCAACATGAGACGTATGCAGTGACGTAAGATCTGGCTCTGTTGTGGCTCTCTAGCCGGTGGAAAGGCAAACCGGTTCTTAGTAAGCTTGTCAGTCGAACCAACTCCGAACCAGCTCTGGCTCTGGCTCTGAACCAGCACCCGGTTCTTGTTGGTGGAAAAGGGGTAATAGTGACCATAAAGTTCTCACCTGTCATCTTGCCTGACAGCTAAGAACATGAACTGAAGGAGAGAGACCCATAAAACCACACAGCAGGCCCTCTCTCATGGCGACACAATCACAGGCGGACTCCCTGTAGAGCTAGCGCACGTTAACATGGACAAAACATGAGGAGCGGTCATGAGATACGGGGTCATGGGGGGGGGGGGGGGGGGGGTGGTCTTTTTTTTGTGAGTACACAAGTAAGGCGCTGCCGGGAAAGACATTGCCATAGCAACAGGCCGGATAATAGTCAAGCCTCAACTTTCCCACCAACATCTTTTTATTCGCATTGTCCGTCCATTTCGCTTTCGAACATCATCATAACAAAAGCCAGCATTACTAATGCAATCTGTTTACGAATCCTTCTAGCGGTTTGCATTCGCTCAAAGAAACGTCTTGACTTCTTGAATTTTAATGGATTATAACGCACTTGAAATAAAACAGCAGCACTACGGTTGATTTAGAAGACATTGAAGGAAAACTATAGTGAAGGACAGCAGAAACACTCTTTGCGATGGCATGTATAATAGCAACAGCCCTAGAGAGAATGTTGCAATTGAAGTAATGACTTTCTCATGCACAAACCCACGTTATTCTGCAGCTCAGCACTTTGTCATCAGCGACACAATACACTAAGAATAGCCAATGAAACAGTCATTGCTTTACCTCAGCAAATTTTACCAACCAATCAATAGACATCCCGTGATTAATCCAAGCAATCCAACACTAGTGTGTGGAGGGACCCAGAGGGGATTCAAGACTCCAGAAAAAGTCAAACATGCATTTTTCTCAATTTGCATAAAAAATTAAATTCTTCTTTCGATGAGATCCAAATGACATTGACAAGATAATGAAAAGTCCCCAAACAAATCATCAAATTTAAGATATCGGTACCTTGTAACTGATAACCTTATAGTTAAGTACATGTATGTTATTAATCAATATTACTCCATACTTAATTGCATAATTACACTGTAACAAGGGCAGCTTAAAATAAAATGTAATCTAAAATTCTATATATTTGGCTAATGGCTCATATACACTTCATTTCCTACTAAAACTTTGATGCTATTAATCTGACAAACTTTGGCAAATCCAGAGATTAGATCTTCTTGAAAAGCACTAACCATATTCAGCTTTTACCTGCTGCTTAACACAAACTCTTTACCAGACGTACTGAACAACAAAATCTGGGCTGTTAATCCCTTAAATTGCATAAAGATTAGATCAGATTAGAACTGCTGATTGCAGCCAGAACTGCCCATTTCTGCGTGCAATTTGCATCAGACTACCTCCAAAATCGCCATTGACAGATATCATTCTGAATAATTGGATATCGGTGGAGAAATTTAGTATTGGTGCATCCCTAAATTAAACCAACTCCTGCAGCTAGCTCGAAATAAACTGCAGAGATTAGTGCAGAAATGAATTCCCTTCCAGAAATTAAACCCTGCAGCCCGTCAGATAATGCAACACGTCTTTTACACTCCAACAGGATGGGTTTTTCCAGCTGGGGAACATTTGATAAAAGCATCTCACTGGAGCCCAAACTAAGTGAGCAGTGACTACATGCATCATCTTCTGCTTGAATATGACGCTGACAGGGCGGATATGAGGAAAAATGCATTCAGACTCACCTGCAGACGAGGGTGGCGATGATGACGCACCAGGCGGTGCAGCAGCAGTCGGCGCTCGGCTGCTCGTCGCTCTTCTTACGGCGACAACACAGCCAGCAGGAGTAGATGAGGAGGAAGAGGAGGTCCAAAGCCAAGCATGCCAGAGCTACACTGCCCAGCAGCAGGATGGACTGCAAGAGAAGAGAAAATAATCTTAGAGATGGGGGGAAATTCTGGATACATATAATATTCAAGACAAGAGCCATTCTTTACGAAAGTCAACTGTTGGTAATGAACCTTCAATTTTGGAATATTAAACTCAAAGTAAACATCTTTTTTTTTTCTTGCATACGCTAAGCTACACATACAATTAGCATGATGTAAATTTCTTCAGCAGCATAGTATGTGGGTAGCCAGATTTTTCTGGACTGGACACGGATGAAATATTCTAGTGCGTGTGTGTCGACCGCTTGTGTTCGCACACACTATCAATAGAGTATACTTTGATACACTGTGTTCACCTGTACCAAAGTGCTCTTACCTGAAGTATAAACCCTGATAAAGTATAAATCCACTGTCAGCTATCTTTGGAGCACCATCTGAAATTTACTTTTCAGCATCACTGCAAAATTTTCGGTCCTTCACAACTTCACTAGCAAGATGTCTCATTATTTTAAAGTGGAAGCCTGTGTCACCCTCTACATTTAACTCTTTCCTCGTCAGCGTTTAAAAAACTAAAAAGTTGTCAGCCACCGGCAGCGTTTTTGATTGAACGTTGTTGTATATATCTGAACATGCAATCAAATACATCAAAAGAAAGAACAGAGCCTCTAAGTTTAAACATATAAACTTTTTGTTTTGTTCCGTCTTCATGCTTTAATCAACACTTGAATGTGGGTAAGTACATACAAAAAGAAAAAAGAAAAAAAAGTTTTTAAACAAAATGCTGAGAAATTCAAGACTACAACGTACATAAGCAATGCTTTTATCACTTGTTTCAGCTCCTTTTTGCCTGTGTTTTGTTCCAGAAAATCTCTACTCTTTCAAAAGATGTGTAATAGCGCCCCATATACCGTATAACAGTCAAAACAAGGAAACATTCCATCAATGGCGGGGAAGCGTTGTCTCAAACTATGGAAAATTCCATCAATGGCGGGGAAGCGTTTTCTTAAATGATGGAAAATTCTGTAATAGCAGGGAACGAGTTAATACGTTTATTAAAGAGGTATTTACTTGTATTAAAAAAATAATAATTTACATGATCCTTAAAGACTTTCGAAATGATATGGCTTGCCTTTTTGGATAAAGTACTGGCTTACTCTACAAACAGTTAAGCTGGGCACCACCTTTTCCTCCACCGCCTTTTTTATTTTCATTTTTTATTTATTTAATCATTTATTTTTTAATGATGTATTTATGTATTATATTGTTCTGATTTTTTTATTTATTGTTAGGTATTTTATCTTACCGTTTTATTGTACTTTGTTTCATTGTATTAAAAAACTACAATAATTATAATTATATTGTTTTGTTAGTCGGGGTAATAATTTTGTGGAATTTGAACTTGTGACAAATGGGTTTGATATCTGAACACTTTTCCTATGTAGATAAATAAAAATAAAAAATAAAAAAAATGAAGTATACTCCAGGCTTTAGCCTCCAAAGCAAATAATAATACAATTTTACATCTAATGTTGTAAAAAATAAAGGAAAATAGTGTGCCTTGATATTGGTTCATAAACGTAAAAAAAGCTATATGTAACAACAAATAAATGACCTAATTTGTTGAACCCAACCAAGTTTGTTATATTTCTTTGCAGCTGTTCATTTCAGTTTTATGACTCTTTTGAGTTCTGAATACAGCTCATAGGCACCTTGAAACACTTGCACCAACATCTGTGTGGGTTGCTCTAAGCCGAGTCTCCCGCTGAAAATCATGTGACAAATAACCTGCAGGGGAAGTTTTGTGTATAATGAGGTCAGAGCTATTCTCGGTTAAGACACACACTTTGCTCTGACAATCTTGTTGTGACAACCACACAGGGATTAAGCATTCAAATTCCTCAAAAACTGACCCAATTCTGGTCACGCCTGATTACCGGGAAATCGGTCAAATGGAGACACCCATGATGGGTTTGGCCTGGTATCCAATCAGTTAATCTGCACAGACTCACTGAACCCCTCTTCACATAATAAGCATTTCAAATCTCCCAAATCAAGTAGTTTTCATACGGCTTTCAACCTGTGCCAAGTGTCCGTCAAGCTCACAGCGTGTGATCACAGGAGAGCTGGGAAAACCATTGTGTCGGTTCAAAAGGGGCCCAGCAAGTCAGACTGGAAAAGTGAGCAGGTCTTAAAAGCACAAAGGGCATCATTGCTCAATGCATTTACTTTAAAACACAAAGCCTGATTGTTCATCTCAAGGTAATTCCTTTGGCGTATTAGGCTCAGCTGAGTCCGGTGAATTTGGTCCAGACTCAGAGTGTGCAGGTATATCAGACCACCATGAAAAAAAGTTGTGTTTACATTGCACCAGACTGCCACAATGACACCTTCCGAGGAAGAACTAGTTGCTGGAAGTTGTGGATTAACAATTGTGTCATTGAGTCTTGAAAATGAAAGAGTTCAAGAGTTTTGTTTTAGGCAGCTGTTAGCAAGTAAACAAGATATCTATGAATATAACCATTTCATTTTGTCTAATGTCCGTGCAATAGTCTGTATTTGGTACTTTTGGGTGAAGGGACATTTTGAACAAAGTTTCCATTAACATTTGGGGTGTGTACGCAGGGCCAGCAAAAACTGTCTGTAGGATTTACTGTTTTTTTATTTGTTTTTTTTTTTAAAGAAAATTCAGCAAGGATTCCTTAAATTTTCAAAAGTGACAGTTAAGACATTTATAATGTTACAAAATAAAAATCTATTTTAATAAATGCAGCCTTGGTGAGCATAAGAGACGTTCTCCAAAAACTAAATTCAAAAATCCTACCAACCCCCCAAATTTTGGATTTTAGTCTATTTTCTACTATATTTGTTTGTCAATGTCATTGCTGCAGCTATTTGAATGAGCTACCACATTGCACACTGGTCTATTATTGTGGCATCATTAAATTCAGCTCCATCCGGACACTGGCTGGTTATTTTACATATCAGTCATTCGGTCTTTTCCAGATTAAGTGGACTGTTTCCAGCCAGGATATGGTACAATGTGCACCAGACTGATAAAAGTCTGCCTCACCATTAGATTAATAATTATATCAATTAAAAGCCTTCACCAGTTAAAATTCGAGTTAGGATAATGCAACACAACAGAATAACAAGTATGCTTCACAGCTCTTCTTTACTAGACATAAGCCATGTTAATTAGGTTACCTCAGTTAACACTCTGCACTCAAAACCAAGGATCAGTCACGATGGTCGACCAGCTGATGTATCATTGGCCATTGCAGAAAGTTAAAAATATCAATACATCTGTGCATAGATTTAAATTCAAGACCACTAGATTACATTGTCAGAATGTCTATTACTTCATTACGTTCATACATTAATAAATGATAGAGAAACATGGGAAATTATTTCCAAAAAAACAAGACAACTCAGTCCCTGCAGGCAAATGCTGAACCCTGATCTAATTTTAGAAGCACAATTAAGCCTTGTACTGTATTGACTGAAAACCACTTGTCCACAAAGACCACTATTCACAGTGGCACTTCAAGAAAACTGAATCTTCTGCAAGGCCCTCTGTCCGTTTTTGAACTCTCACACAGTGAAAGATTCAGTGAAGGTTATGCCGACTGGCAACAGACACCAGGACGTTGCGAGTAAAGGAGTAGTTCACTTTTAAAAAAACTTTTGCTGATAATTTACTCACCCCCATGTCATCCAAGATGTCCATGTCTTTCTTTCTTCAGTCGAAAAGAAATTAATGTTTTTGATGAAAACATTCCAGGATTTTTCTCCATATAATGGACTTCAATGGTAGCCAAACGGTTCAAGGTCTAAACGACCGTTTCAGTTCAGCTTCAAAGGGCTTTAAACGATACCAGACGATGAATAAGGGTCTTATCTAGAGAAACGATTTGTCATTTCAAAAATAAATGAAAAAGTTAAAGTTGTATAGGCACAAATGCTCGCCTTGCGAACTCTCCTGTTCGAACTCGTTCATCAAAATGAAAGAATCTTTTTTCGAGTCAATGACTCGAAAAAAGATTCTTTCATTTTGATGAACGAGTTCGAACAGGAGAGTTCGCAAGGCGAGCAAATTATCAGCAAAAGTTTTTTAAAAAGTGAACTACTCCTTTAAGATTCTTTTTAAGCCAACAGGTGAATAACCAAATAGATGCAAGGATAAACGAACCAACCGAGACAACTTTACTGATGACTATCTCTAATAAATAGAAGCATGATGGTCATTTCTCTTTCCTGGTCAAAATCACAAACAGACTAAACATTTGTTGGATGATTAGTTGACTAATTGCTTAATTGCTACGTTTCACCATCAATTCGGTACTTGCACGCTGTTATCTAAGTGCACACACAAACATATCTGAAGCGCAAACACAGAGAGGCGCATTTCATATAGCAAGAGAACAGCGAATTGATTCCTCTTTTGCATCTCCATGCACTACACACAAATTTATTTTAAAATACCAGTCTCTGCAAAGTATTCTCATAAACACAGCCGCTTATGTCTTAAGTTAACGTAAACAGTTAAGAAAGAAATCGGATGTGTATCATTGTATTGGATCAGTGCATTCACTCTTAAAGTGACAGTAGCCTATAAATACTTGCTAATGTCCAAATCATTAATGTTAATCAAACAACAAAACAAAGATTAATCTATGTTTAATTTATACATTGAACACTATTGTGTTATTTTACATTTAGGCCTAATTATTACATGTCAGTAGTCGAATGCACTACAGTAAGACCTTACTTTGTTTGCAACTTTGTTATATTGTATTTATCTATGCTTGTAATTAGTGTTTTTGTTCTTATTTTTTACTGACTGTTTACTTGCCTTTAATAATGTTTGAACTATATTACTTAGGCTAGTAGTTTTTGCGATCATATCAAAGTACATAAAATGTGCTTTAAGTCATAAATGGAAAGCAAAGTAACATTTCAAGTTGGACTCAAACCCAAAACCATCCAATACAACAATAGATAATATGAGGCAGGAATTCATCGGAGA